CAGTCTCAGTCAGACCATTAAGTCTGGTCTTCTTACTAGAATTTGAGTTCTGCATCCCATCGTTCTACTGCTCCATCAGGGACCCTCTGTTGTGACTAATAATATGCATCTTTTCATATACTTATTGGCAATTTGTATGTCTTTGGAGAAATTTCTATTCAAGTCTGTCTTAGGCTGGGTTCTCTAGAGAAGCAAAACCAGTGAAGCATATAAATATATATATATATAGATTTATATCAAAGAAACAGCTCACGCGATTATAGAGGCTAGAATGTCCCAAGTCTGTGGATTAGGATAGACGCTTCTCCCAATTCACATAGCCCCAGGGGCTGGTGAACCCAAGATCAGCAGGTCAGATAGCAGGGCTCTTGTTCACAGGCTGTGAATATTGACAAATCCGAAGATTGGCAGGCAAGACCGCAAGGCTTCTCCTGATTCATGTAGCTGCAGGGTCTGGCGAACCCAAGATCAGCAGATTGAAGAGCAGGGCTCTGCTTACAGGCTGTGAAGGACCACGAATCCCAAGATTGGCAGATAAGCTGATAGCTCAAGTCCCAAGAACCAGAGTTCAGACGAAGAGGAGGCAGCCACACAATCCAGAGCGAGCAAAAAGCCAGATTGTCTGCTTATATTTGGATGCAGGCCACACCCCCAAGGAAACTCCCTTTCAACTGATTGACTACTCACAGCAGATTCAATCCTGGGAGTGATGAACACTAAGAATCATGTCCCGGCCAATTTGATACACAGTCTTAACCATCACAAAGGTTTTTATCCATTTTTAAATGGGATTGCTTGTCTTTTTGCTGTTGAATTATAGGAATTCTTCGTATATTCTGGATATTGAACCTTTATCAGATATATAGTTACAACTCTTTTTTCCCAGTGTATGCTGTCTCTTCACTTTTTTTATGAAGTCCTTTGATGCATAAACAGTTTTAATTTTGATGAAGTCCAATTTATTTATTTGTTGCTTGTGCTTTTGGTGTCATATCTAAGAATTCATTGTTAGAAACAAGATCTTGGATTTTTACCTTCTTTTTTTCCCTAAGAATCTTATGGTTTTAGTTTTTATATTTAGTTCATTGATCCATTTTGGATTAAGTTTTGCACATGGCATGAGGTATAAGTCCAAATTCATTCTTTTGCATTTGGAGATTCAGTTGTCCCAGCACCATTTTTGAAGAGACTATTCTTTCCTCATTGAATAGACCAATATTTTCTTCTAATACTTGCATACTTTGTTTAACATTTAAGTCTTAAATCCATTGTTTGTTTTTTTCTGAAATGACTAACCAATTCTCCCCACACGATTTGTTGAATACCAACAGTAACAAATATGATAACTACCATCTATTAAGTTATAAACACATGCTAGGCATTGTTATCTTGTGGTTTACATAGCTTAAATCATTTAGTTTTCACAGTCTTATGAGGTTAGTACTTTTATCCCTGTTTTACAAATGAGAGAACTGAGACATAGGAGAGATGTATTAATTTGTCCAAGCTTACTGTATCAGTCTGAGTCCAACTAGAAGACAGAAAGCACACAGTACTTTAAACAAGGAAAGTTTAATATAAGAATTACTAAGCAATGATAGGAGAGTAACTATATAAAGATGGAAAGAGAACTCTAAAGGACAAAGGGAGAATACCCAAGGAGGGATAAGTTTGGAAGAGGTTAAAACTTCATTGAAGAAGGTGAGGTTGCTGCCCACTCTGTGACTGAGAAGTTGTTGGGTTACCCAGGCCAGAGCTGGTCCAAAGTCATTGTGTAAACAGGAACAATCCTCTGGGGTGCAGGCAAGCTCAGCTGTCCAGATGGGCACACAGTGATCAGGAGGGCCGTGGGAATTAAACCTCCAGAGTACACAATAAAGATTGTGTTTTTGGCTCACTAGATGACTAGCCTCACAGGACACTTGCGATGTGTGCGTGTGGCACTGAGGAAGGTGTATGGAGAACAGTGTGAACTGGGTTGATGCACAATCCTGTGCTGTTGGGGGCTCTCAGTTACACTGCTGCTGTTTGAGTTGAGAACTAGAGAAGCAGGTAAAGGACGAACACTGGAGAGAGCTTTGCACTGGAGAGTACCATGTGGGCCAAACAGTGGAAAGAACACCATGCTCTCCAGGAGCATGGTGAACAAGCTACCCCTTCCTCCTGCAGTGTGTCTCCAGTGCCCTCTACTAACATAGCTGAACACAGTGCCAGCTTGCAGAGGGAACATTATTAAAGGACCTGTACCCATGTCAACAGATCAGGCAATGAAGGAAGAATTTTAACTGAGAAGCAGTAAAATGATAATTGGTTCAGTTATGAAATAGTCCAACTCCCATGCCTTTCCCTCTGCATTCTTCCTGCCTTTCATAAAGAATCTAGCCTTTTCCCACTGATTTGACGTGCTTTTTTTTTTTTATCATATATTAAATACCTAAATTCATGTGTCTGTTTCTGAACTTGAGCTTGATTCTTTTCCATTGATATCTTTGTCTATTTTGTTCCTAAACCAAGCTCTTTGAATTAGAATAGCTTGAATACAAAATGTAGGGTAAATCCCTCTTTCAAAGCTTTCTCTTCTGGATAAATTTAAGAATCAGCTTATCATATTTCATAGAAATCCTTTTGAACTTTTGATAATTTATAGATTTGAATTGATAAGTTAATTTGGCAATTATAAATGTCTTTACAATACAGAATCATCATAGCCAGAAATAAATTATCTGTTAAGAACTAGCACATGTGTGCTTTCCCTCTTTTCGGTATTTCATACTTTTTTTTTTTTTTGTGGCATAGTTTTTGGTATTTAACTAAATTTCTACAGTTTAATTTTAAGTCAATCCGTTGGCTTTAGTTTACATTTTTATAGTCTCTTTTTATCCCAATGTTGATATTTCTTTGTATTAATAGTATCCTGAGGTATCCGTAAGTTGGTGATTAAGGGTGTCATCTTTGATATTGTTTCTGTTAAAATCTCAGTTCTGTTATCTTGGGGAGGTAACTTAACTTCTCTGTGCATCTGTTTCCTCATTAATCCAATAGAGTCCATAGAGTATATGATAGAGTTGAGGGAACAATTAAGTAGTATGGTACATTTAAGGGTTTGGCACGGAGCCTGGCACATATTAGTTACTAAGTTACTGTCACTGTCTTCTGTCATCATCATCCTTACTGTTGTTGTTATCCTTATGATGTTTCTCACACTAATATTTGCTGTCTTATTCCCTTTTTCCAGATACACCCTTGTCTCACTTCTTACTGACTGTTTTGTCTGTTGGAAACAATCAGAGGATGTGCACATGAACCATATTTTAGGTTATAATCTTGTACATACTTGACTTCTCCCTACCCATGCTCCAATTTGAAGCACCTTTTTTGGCCGTTTTTTCCCTGTTCATTTTTCTCTTCAACATGTTTAGTTTTTAGGGGAAGTTAATGGTTTTGTGGTCAAGTAAATGCCTGGGCATTTATTTAGTTTTGATAGTTGGGGAGTGCCATATTTTCAATTCATTTTTTCTCTTCCATTTTGAAATCTATTAAAAAAGGAACCTACATTAAATATGTATGTAAACCAGTAACTAGTTGGCCATTGCGTTGACTCTGACTCATGACCCCTGGTGACTCCATGTGTGTCAGAATAGAACTGTTCTCCATAGGGTTTTCAATGGCTGATTTTTCTGAAGTAGATTGCTAGGACTTTCTTCTGAGGCACCTCTGGGTGGACTCGAACTTGTAACCTTTTGGTTAGCAGCTGGGCTTGTTAACCATTTCTACCATCCAGGGACTCCACATTAAATATGTAGCATTTCAAATTCAGTTTTTGCTGTTGTAGCACACAAGAAAACAAGAGTATGTATATTTTATGTTTGTTCTCTTTTGCATCTATTAGGTATTCATGTATCTGTTCATTTGAATCTTACTGTTCATGATAATAAAGGGTTATCATTAGTATATTGGATGTTTCGAAAAACAAGAATTTTGCAAGATAATTTAAATTTGATTTATTGAAACACTAACAAAACAGAGTGGGAAACATGAAGGTGTTTTTCTGACTTTATTTTCTGCTTATTTTATAGGAATCAAGAACCCAGTCTCAGTTGCAAACAGACTTTTGTGTGAAGGGCAGAAGGGCAAGCTCTCGGCTGGCAGAATTCCTCCCTGGTAACCACTTTGTTCTGCCTGACTTTCCCTGGATCTTTGGTCTTTAGTGTGTGCAATGTCTGAAGGCTATTCTTATCCACAGAACGCTGATGCTGTTGGCTACACACCAGCAGTAGCATGCCTTTGAGGGGAAGCCACGCTTTGTTCTCTGAACATGGAACATTTTGTACACTTGATAAAGCTCTGGATGGAATAGCATATTACGGGTTAAAGCAGAAAGAAGATCAGGGTTAATTTTTATTTTTGTCGTTAATTACAGAGATGTTTTTGCTTTTACTAAACGCTCAGTTACGATGTTTTGATTATGGAGCTTTAGCAGTAGCTTATACATTGGAGTCCAGAGTCTAAATTCATTTTTAATTTTGACAAGGTTGTAGAATAAAAGTACTTAATTTTTCTCTTCTGGAGAAACACATTGTGAAGTTAAGATTACATTTTTTTCTCCAGCATTAACATACAATTTTCATTTAAAAATACTTTGAACTTTTTAAATATATGTAAAAATAGAGAGAACATTGTAGATAGCCCTCGTGGACCTGTCATCCAGATCCAATTATTAACAATGTTTTTGTCCTTCATCTATCTCATATATCCCAATTTTTTTCCTGTAGTATTTGAAAGCAAATTTTAGACACTGTATATCCCTAAATAGTTTTATAAATATCTTAATTTTTGCAAAACTTAACCACCATACCATTAGTATGCCTAACAGTGTTGACAAATATGCCTTAATCCCACCTCATACACAGTCTGTGTTCAGCATTCCTGGCCGTGAAGGGTATGTTAATATTCTATGCAGAAAGTAGTGACAGCAGTACTATAGAAATCACTTTGTTTGATTCTGTTATATTTTGAAGTCATAGTAAATTTTTGTAGTTTCAAAAAATCATAAAACCTTTATGCAAATAAATTTAAGGTAACCTCTTAATCATATACCTCTCAGTTGTTTAATTGTGGTACTAGAAAGGTCCATTATAAAAAATTCCAAAAGAAATTAATTTTTAGTATTATCTGGTTTCTGTTATTGACTGTTCTTTTTTCCTTTTTGACTTTATTGTGGTAAAATATATATAACAAAACATCCGCCATTTTAACCTTTTTAAGTCTGCAATTGAGTGACATCAGTAACGTTCAGCATATTGTGTAACCATCACCACCATCCATTTCCAAAAGTTTTTCATCACTCCAAACAGAAACTTACTTCCCTTAAGCAATAACTTTTCTTTTCCCTGTCCTTCAGCCCTTGGTAACCATTAATAAGCTTTTGTCTCTATGCATTTACCTATTCTAGACATTTCATATAAGTGCGGTCATACAATATTTGTCCTTTGGTTTCTGACTTATTTCACTCAACATGATGTTTTCAGGGTTATTCTGTGTCGTAGTATGTATCGAAACTATTTCTCTTAATTACTGAATAACACTTCATTGTATGCATATATCACATTTTTGTTTTTCCGTTCATCTGTTAATGAACTCTTGGGTTGATACACCTTTTGGCTATTGCGAATAATGCTGCAATGCACATTAGTGTACAAGTATCTGATTGAGTCCCTACTTTCGATTATTTTAGGTATATATGTAGGAGTGGAATTGCTGGCTCATATGATAATTCTGTGTTTAACTTTTTGAGGAACTTGCCAAACTGCTTTCTACAGTAGCTGCACCCTTTTGCATTCTCACTAGCAATGAATAAGGGTTTCAGTTGCGACAGATACTCGACAACATCTGTTGTTTTTAGTTTTTTTGATCATAACCTTGTTGTTGTTGTTGTTAGTTGCCGTGGAGTTGGCTTCAACTAATGGTGACCCCATGTGCAATAGAACAAACTGTTGCTGCCATCTTCACAATTGTTGGTATACTCGAGTCCATTGTTGTGACCACTGTGTGTTTTGAGTGCCTTCCAATCTATGGGCTCATCTTTCAGTACTGTATTGGATAGTATTCTGTGGTGATCCATAGGGCTTTCATTGGCTAATTTTCAGAAGTAGCATTCCAGGCCTTTCTTCCTAGTCTGTCTTAGTCTGGAAGCTCTGCTGAAACTGTCCACCATGAGTGACCCTGCTGGTATTTGGAATACCAGTGACCTAGTGTCATGGATTGAATTGTGTCCCCCCAAAATGTCTATCAACTTGGCTGAGTCATGATTCCCAGTATTTTATGATTGTGTACCATTTTGTAATCTGATGTGATTTCCTTATGTGTTGTAAACTCTGTCACTATGATGTAATAACAGATGGATTAGTGGCAGTTACACTGATGAGGTCTACAAGATTAGATAGTGTCTTAAGCCAATCTCTTTTGAGATATAAAAGAGAGAGTGAGCAGAGACACATGGAAGCCTCATACCACCAAGACAGCAGTGCTGGGAGCAGAGCGTGTCCTTTGGACCTGAGGTTCCTGCGCAGAGAAGCTCCCAGACCAAGGGAAGATTGATGACACAGACCTTCCTCCAGAGCCAATGGAGAAAGCATTCTGCTGGAGCTGATGCCCTGAATTTGGGCTTGTAGTCTACTGGACTGTGAGAGAATAAATTTATCTTTGTTAAAGCCATCCACTTGTGGTGTCTGTTATAGCGGCACTAGATGACTAAGACACCTAGCTTCTGGAATTATAGCAACATACAAGCCACCAAAGTATGACCAACTGACAGATGGGTGGTGGAGAGCCATCTTAGTCAGAGTGAAGTGGTATCTCATTGTGGTTTTGGTTTGCTTTTCCCTGATGACTTACGATGTTGAGCATCTTTTCATGTACTTTGTTTTAGGGGGAGGGCATTTGTATATCTTCTTTGGAGAAATGTCTGTTCAAGTCCTTTGCCCTTTCTAAAATTGGATTGTTTGTCTTTTTGTTGTTGGCTTATAGTAGTTCTTTATATATTTTGGATATTCAGCCCTTATCAGATACAGTATATGGTTCCCATGTATTTCTTTCCATTCTGTAGGCTGTCTCTTTACTTTCTTGATAAAGCTCCTTGATGCACAAAAGTTTTTGAGTTTGATGAAGTTCTACTTTTTTCTTTTGTTGTTCTTGCTTTTGTGTCATATCTAGGAAGCCATTGTTAAAAACTAGGTTCTGAAGCTTTACCCCTAAGTTTTCTTCTAAAAGTTTTATGGTTTTAGTTCTTATATTTGGTTAATCCATTTTGAATTAAGTTTTACTATATAGTGTGAGGTATGAGTCCAATGGTATTCTTTTACATAAGGCCCTGTTGTTCCAGCACTGTTTATTGAAGAGACTATTCTTTTCCTATTGAATGGACTTGGCACCCATGTTGAAAATCAATTGACCATAGACACATGGGATTATTTTTGAACTCTTAGTTCTGTTATTTTGGTCTATATGTCTATCTTATACCATTACTAGGCTGTTTGATTGTTGTAGCTTTATAATACATTTTTGATATTGAGAAACATGAGAGTCCTCCTACTTTGGTCTTCTTTTTTTGAGATTTCACTTGCTGTTTTGGGCCCCTTGCCAAAATTGAGGATTGACTTTTCCATTTCTACAAAAAAGGATGTTGGCCTTTTGATAGGAATTGCATTGACTATATAGATCACTTAGGGTAGTATCGACAACTTCACATTATTAAATTTTCCAAAACTTGAACATGGGATGCCTTTCCATTTCTTTAGGTCTCCTTTAGTTTCTTTCTGCAGTGTTTTGTAGCTTTCAGCCTACAAGTTTTCATCTCCCTGGTTCAGTTTATTCCTACATATTTTATTCTTTTAGATACTATTGTAAATGGAATTGTTTTTTTAATTTCCTTTTCAGCTTGTTCATTGCTGGTGTATAGAAACACAAAAGATTTTTGTTTGCTAATTTTGAACCCTGCAACTTTGCTGAATTCATTTATTAGCTCTACTAGCTTTCTTGTGGATTCTTTGGGATTTTCTCTATATAGGATCATGTCATCTGAAAATACTGACGGTTTTATTTTTCCCTTTCTGATTTAGATACCTTTTCTTTCCTAATTGCTCTGAGTAGAACTTCCAGTATAACATTGAATAGTAATGGTGAAAACAGGCATTCGTATCTTGTTTCTGATCTTAGGGGGAAAGCTTTCAGTCTTTTGCCATTTAGTTGGATGTTGTTGTTAACAGCCATTGAGTCGTCACTGGCTCATGGTGACCCCATGCGCAAGGGAACAAAACGCTGCCTGATCCTGTGCCTTTCTCATGATCAGTTGTGGATTGGACCGTTGTTATCCATAGGGTTTTCAGTAACTAATTTTGGAAGTAGATTGCCAGGCCTTTTTTCCTAGTCTGTCTTAGTCTGGAAGCTCTGCTGAAATCTGTTCAGCATCCTAGCAACACGCAAATCGCCCATAACAGATGGGTTGTGGCTGCGCATGAGGTGCATTGGCCAGGAACTGAACCTGTGTCTCCTACAGTAACATGGATAGATTTCTACATATAGAGTTAAAAAAAAAAATCAAGTTGCTGAATGATAGGTTCAGTTTATGTTTCCTAAAAAAAATTACAAGATTATATGGGAATATCTGTTTTCTCCTACCCAGGTTGGGAAGTAAAACATCACCAAAAGATCTGAAGTTCTCTAACCTGAGTCTTTCTGATTGCATCATCCTCTTTGCCACTATCCCACACCCTCTGTCTGACCTCATCTCTGCCCCTGTCTCTAGATCACAATAGTCCTGAACTTAAGCATGTATTCCCATGTATTCCTTCATACTATTAAAAAATGCAGTACTCTAATATTCTATGAATGTATATATGTAAAAAACTGGTTACCCAACTCACCATTATTACCTCGGGAGAGGCAGCAGGGGGACCAAGATGAATTATTAAAGGGAACATGTACAATATTTTAATATTTTACAACGAGAAAGTATATGGGAAATGTGATGGCCAGTACACCATTGAAATAATATCAGTTAGTAATGCTATGTCTGCCTGGGACTAGCTATTTGATTTTCTTACATACATGATTCTTCAATTTTATTCTTTATTTTCAAAGTTGTTTTGGCTATTTTAGATATT